ATTCAATAGTACTTTACACATGTATATTTATATTTAATGAAATTTTCTATGATATGAATGTAACTATAATTCAATGAATAAACTTTTAAACTGAATAAAATTGCAGTCATCACATTTTTTTGATGGAATTGAACATAATGATTGAAACAAAATTTTCGAATTCGAGGATTTTTTCGATTTTTTGCATTTTCTGAGAACATTTACTGCAGTAATGTATGCATGAAATGCATGAATCGGGCATTTCATTGAATATCATGAAATACGTAATTTTGAACAATCTTCCGCAAATAATAACATTTCAGTGCCAACATCTTTACCGGCATTTTTTATAATTTGTGGTTATACATTCGAACAGCATTTTGAAACTATACCCTCAGAATTTTGAATGTCACTTAATTTTGTACACCTATGAATTATTTGGTTCAAATGTTTCCCCGATAAAAAGTTTACCTGGTTGGACTGTAGATACGACATGAATCGCGATGTGTTGAAGAATNTGTGGAAGGTAACAATTACCCAAAAAAGGTCGATAAAAAATTAACTAATACTAATGCATAGAGAAAAGCGTATGTACCTATACCATTTAGTAGCTTCATCAAAAATATACAATTTGGTGAAAGTATGATTGAAAAAACTTCAGTCAACGAGAAAGTAATACAAATCATGAAATAATTACAAAAGTTAATTGGCGCTCCGGGGCGACTTTATTGATTCCAGTGGTGCATTTGCTGTTTCAGTTGCAGAAAAATCCGAAAAAACCTGCAGCACCACATCATCTGAATATCTTGATCTGCCAATGTCCTCTCTTTCATAAAACAAAATGTGAGGTGTCTTTAGAGGCTCCAACAAATTCAAGACATCGTTAGAACACTAAGTGACACGACTATTGTCAAACTTAAACGATTCCGTTTCGTCTTTGATAAAAGCGTAATAATGAACAAATTCAACGGCAGAATCACACTGAACAATGACTGCATTGTTTCATTCCATAAAATCGAATAATACATTGAAGATAGGCCGGTAAAGGACAAAAAAAACTACAACAAAAAAAATTATTTGTAATTTATTTACCTACCTCAGGAACTTTCTAGAACCCACTTCGATCAAATAATTCCTGCAAATAGAATACATAAAATATCGCAAAACTTCTTCAGTGAGAAATGTAGTTTTTATATATACAGTGAAGTCCTGAGGTTTACGGGTAAATTCATTTTCTACCATGCTTCCTCAAGCTTGAGGAAGCTATTGTATAGCGAAACACATGAAATAAACTGTATTAATTAGTTTTTTAATATTAAATGATGCAGCTCTGGGTTGTATGATGTTACATCAATAGCCGTAATGAAGGTTGTCTACAATTAAGGATCGAAATATCTTTACACTCTTATCTCACTTTCACAGAGCGTGGTTACACCTCCTGTTGACAGTCAGTCTCTTTACATCCGCGCGCGGAATTAAGCGCGTACAAAATATGTGACATTGTGTTTAAAAATATTGCGTCAAGAAAAATGTATTCACAAAGTGAAACAGTGCTCCTCACAGTTTTCATGCTTTTTATTTTGGAATACTCGGCAGGTGAGTCAAAATGTGTAAATTGAAGTTGTTCCATAATTTTTGGAATGAATTATTTGCCTTTATATTTCATTGTTCAAATGAGATTTACCTGTTCCGAAATTATTCGATATCAACTGAAAATTCACCATAGATCAATGTTTACATTTTTCATTATCTCTATATTTCCTTGGAGATGATCCACTTGAATCGCATGTGGACGAGGTGTATGGTAAAATCATACCTACATCGATTCCAATTTTCAAGGCAAACAGCGATCATTACTTATAATCCCTGGAGCATTTTCAGTCAACAATGTGTCGCTCCATCGTTCATGGTATTACTTTAATTTAATTACTGTTATTGTAAATTTAGTTTAAATAGTGTCATTATTTCGGAAGCTCCATCATCATCAGTTGAAACTTGATGAAAATTAACATTTTGGGTACTTTATCTCCTGAGTTGAGTAATGCTCAATATTTTTTATTGCAGAGGCACTATCGAAACGAAGCGTTATTGTTGGCTTTTTTTCAGACAAATGCAATAAAATCTACCACATAAGTACTTCAAAAAAATTCAATTGCTCCTTATGGATGAGATAGTTATTTAGGGATTTCTGCCCTGTCAATGGCATTCCAGAAAATCGAATGACACATTGAATATAGGCCGGTAAAGTGCATGAAAAAAAATTTCAGCACTGAAAATTATTTTCAATTTATGTACCTATCTCAGAAACTTTCTAGAACCCACTTCGATCAATTAATTCCTGCAAATAGAATACATGAAATATCGGAAAACTTCTTCAGTAAAAAACGCAGTTTTATATATACAGTGATGTCCTTAAGTAACGGGCAAATTTATTTTTTACCATGAATGCAAATGAAAAGGATGTATCACTGCGCC